TTTTTAAGGTTACATTTTCAGCATTATTCATTTTTAATTCCCTTAGAGCGCTAAACCTTTATGGATCATACAGCGCCTGTGAAATTATATTTAATCAAATATGATCTCCTAAAGGTACATTTGGTCCCGATAGCCAACATACATATTCATTGCAAGCAGCTCTCAGATATTTCATTTTGATACTATGTTATATTATTTTTATTTGTATATATTCTATTGTATTTAATATCGATTATTATATGTCGTACGTTCATCCGCTGAACCATGATACAAGACTCTCCCAGGCAGTCTCTAGCGGCCTCCACACAGCTGGTATTGTGGGTCTACTTCGATGTTCCTCTCCTGTGTTATACGCCCGAGATGGCAGGACGCGACCCAGACAGCAGGTGAACTCGTCAGGGCCCTCACACTCTAAACTGGTCCTGATCTCTACTTCTGGGAGGTCAGTGAAGAGGGACCAGGAGTGAACACAGTCGTCTCGAGTCATGCAGGAGCAGGCTACCATCTTTGGTCTTCTTTGAACATTCTCACTTCTCGGGTGTTCTTCACCTTGTCTGGACTCTGCGATGGCTGCCAGCGGTGCCCTGGAAACGCTGTCTCCCTCAATGGTAACTAAAGTATGTTGTGAGGATGAGTTAATCTCTCTACCAATGCCTTTGTAACCGGTAAACTTGGAAAGAGTGTCGAGTGTAGAGGGTCGCCAGCCAGATCTGTCTCTGCGTGTTTGAGTTGTTGTTTTTGTGAAGTGCTGACGCTGGCGTGGGATGGTCGTCGTAGGACGACTGGCGTTACTGGGTATCAGAAGGTTGGCAGGTAGTATAGTCGTCAAGTTGTGATTGATACTGGTTGAATGTTGACGAGTTTTGGCAGCGGCCGTAATCAGGTTGCTCTTGATACTCTTGGACAAGTCGAGTAGTGTCTTACGCCTGCAGCAGTACCGTGTCTGCACCGGACATGAGAATCCCTGAAAATATGCAAAACATTATTATTATTGTTATTATTATTATATATTATTATTATTATTATTATTATTATTATTATTATTATTATTATTATTATTATTATTATTATTATTATTATTATGAATAAAAAGGTACAATACAGTGACCGGAGAATACACAAATAACCCGCACATAGGAGAGAGGAGCTTACGACGACGTTTCGGTCCTACTTGGACCATTTCCAAAGTCAAGTAAAAAGACACAAGTGCAACTAATGTGACATTTTATTGTGGCAACGTTTCGCTCTTCAGGAGCTTTGTCAAGCCGTAACGGCTTGACAGCTCTTGAAGAGCGAAACGTTGCCACAATGAAATGTCGCATTAGTTGCACTTTTTTTTCATTTACCTAACATATTGTAGGTATTTCTACCAACCTTAATACATTTACAAAGTCACACTAACAGAAAGGAGAGAAAGAGCCAGTATAATATAGGCCAGCTGGCAGGGACGGGACACGAGAAGTGGGAGTAGTAGCAGTAGGGGTAAGGCAGGTAGTGGTAGTAGTAGAAGTAGTAGTAGTGGTGGAGGTAAGACTGTAGTAGAAGAAGTAGTAGTAGTAGAAGTAGTGGTAGTGTAAAGAAGGGAGAATGGTAGGTGGGAAAAGAATAGAAAAGGGGAGAAAAAGGGAGGCAAAAGAGAAGGAAGAAGCCGATAGTAGTAGGAAAGAAAGTAGTAGTAGTAGTAGTAGTAGTAGTAGTAGTAGTAGTAGTAGTAGTAGTAGTAGTAGTAGTGGAGTCAATGAAAGGCCAAGAACAATACACAAGACAGCGAGTGTTGAATCTTCTATTATACACAACTTTACTTGTATGAACCTTAGTCTTGGCTTTGTCCCTGCAGATGCCTTGTTTTCCCATTACATTGCCAAATGCTCCAGACTTCAGAACACACGTAACTTAACCTGATTCCTTTTTCTCCTCATGTTTCTACCTCTTCTTCTTTCCTATTTTTCCTTGTTCTTGTTTTTGGGTTTCCTTTCTTCTGCCTTGGGTGTTTTGTCTTTTACTTCCCCCCTCTCCCTGTGTTTTTGTTGGGTTTTGACTGACTCCACTACTACTACTGCTTCCTTTCCTACTATCTTCGGCTCCTTCCTTCTCTTTTGCCTCCTTTTTCTCTCCCCTTTTCTATTCTCGTCCCACCAGCCATTCTCTCTACTTTACACTACCACTACTTCTACTACTACTTCTTCCACTACCTGCCTTACTACTCCTCCCACCTCTCTTGTCCCGTCCCTGCCAGCTGGCTTATATATACTGGCTCCTCTCCTTTCTGTTATCCTGGCAAACCTTACCAACCAACCATCTTTTCTGTTAGTGTGACTTTGTAGATGATCCAAGTCGAGCCGCAACGTCATCGTAAGCTTCTCTCTCCTATGTGTGGGTTATATGTGCATTTTATTATTATTATTATTATTATTATTATTATTATTATTATTATTATTATTATTATTATTTACATCAAATACTTACAATCTTGTATTCGCACACGTCATTAAATAAGCAC